GAAACAGTGTCAAATACTTTGCTGAAGTCCACCCAAAGAACATCCACTGCTCTGCCCATGTCAACAGAAGGTATTTTGTTGTAGAAGGTGATCAGGTTAGCCTGGCATAATTTGCCTTTGGTAAACCTGTGCTGGATTTTCCCAATCATCTGCTTCATTTGGTTCATAATAGTTTCTAGGAGGACTTGTTCCTCCACTTTCCCAGGGACTGAAGTAAGGCTAATGGGCCTGTAGCTTCTTGGGTCCTCTTGCGTCCTCTTTTGGGCCATTCTTGCAGGTGGGCATGAGATTTGCCCTCTTCCAGTCATCAGGGATGCCTACTGAATGCCACAGCTTTTCAGAGATTATAGACAGTGGCCTTGCAACAATGTCAGCCACCTCTGGTAACACCCTGGGGTGGATTGCCTCCAGGCCCCTCAATTTATGTGGTTGAGCCCTTGCAGAGGGCCACTACCGGTGGGTCAACATGTCCATAATTGTGGCTACTTGATCCTGTGATCTGGGGTCCAGCTACACCAGTAGAGACACAGGCAAAGAAGGTATTGAGAACCTCTGCCTTGTGAGTATTCTTAGTAACTCGTTTCCCTGCCCTGTTTAGTAATGGGCCTGTGTCTTCCCTGTGCTCCTGCTTACTGCTCACCTGTCTGGAGAACGCTTTCTTCTTGACATCTCTGGCCAATTTCGGTTCTAGTGGAGCCTTAACCTTCCTGTCTGCATCTCTGCATGCCCTAGCAAGGTTCCTGTAGTCCTCAACGGGTATTGGTCCGCCTTTCCATAGCTGGTATGCTTCTTTTTTGCTTTTAAGCACATCCAAAAGGTCATAGTTAAGCCTAAGGGGTGGTCTCTTGTCTGTCCCTTCCTTTCTCTTTGTAGGTGATGGACTGTTCTTGTGCTTCCAGGAGGCTGTCCTTTAAAAAATCCCAGCACTCACAAGCTCCTTTGCCCTCCATGCATGCTTCCTATGGAATCCCTCACATCTGGGCTCTGAGCATATTAAATCTGGCTCTTCTAAAATCCAGGGACTTTGT